CATGATCACAATTTTTCTTTTTTTTTTTTTGTCGGTCGTGGGGCTTGAACTCTGGGCCTGGGCGCTGTCCCTCAGCTCTTCAGCTCAAGGCAAGCGCTCTACCACTTGAGCTACAGTGCCACTTCCATGATCACAATTCTTGAATCCAACATTTTGAAAAAAGAAAGGAGTAAAAACATTCAAGAAGGAAAACAATAATGATTAGTTTTATATTGTACCATTTCCAAAACCAACAGTCTTATTAACCTTTGGAAATAATCCAGTTATATAATTGTTAAATATTGCAATTTGCTGATTACTACATAGAACCAAGCGAGTTTCACTAATACTTAATACTATATTTATTTTACAAAGTACATATCTGTGGTAGATACACACAATGCACTCTCTGGAACTATCAAGCACAAGGTGCAATAATACAAATAACTATTATAGAAATTCCAAGGGAGATAGCAAGTTGAAGATTTTTCCTGGTAGATACAGTTTTATAACTGAAATTATCCAGTTCAGCTCCACCACTAGATAAACACAGAAGAAATGCTGCACTGAACTGAAGGTAGAAAAATACAACCCAGGGCTGGGAAGGTGGCTCAGTGGTAGATTGCTTGCCTTGCATGCCTGAGGCCCTGGGTTCGATTCCTTAGCACCACATAAGCAAAAAGAAAAAAGCCAGAAGTGGCACTGTGGCTCAAGTGGTAGAGTGCTAGCCTTGAGCTGAAGAGCTGAGGGACAGCGCCCAGGCCCAGAGTTCAGGTCCCATGACTGGACCCAAAAAAAACACAAGAAAACGAAGTTTACAACTTTGGGAGGGGGGTTTAGCGGGGAAGATTGGGTGGGGGGAGGATGGGAAGGGGAAACAAAGGAGGAGGCTACACATTATCTTGCCCATGTAACTGTAACCCCTCTGTACAGTATTTTCACAATAAAAAAATTAAAAAAGTTTGTGTTAGGAAATCTGTGGTTATTCTCATGGGCTTGCTTATATATGTGTCTTACAGAATTTTTTGTCAGTCCTGGGGCTTGAACTCAGGATCTGGGCACTGTCTCAGCTTCTTTTGCTCAAGGCTAGCACTCTACTACCTGAGCCACAGCACCACCTCTGGCTTTTTCTGTGTATGTGGTCCTGAGGAATGAAACCCAGGGCTTCATGCATACTAGGCGAGCACTCTACCACTGAGCCACATTCCCAGCCTATTGGCAATATTTTTTAAATGTGTATTTTGTGTTTTATTCATAATGTGTCATGGGTGTTACTTTTTTGCTCTTGCCTGTTTGGTTGTCTGAAGCCCTCTTGGGAGGCTGGATCTCCTGCAAGGCTCTGAAATCTTCTTTTATCTCTTCTCCTCCTATGCCCATCTTAAGTTTGGTCTACTTCTTTTTGCATGGCAGGGATTTAGTCCAGTGGCTTCACCTCAAGGCCTGGGTGCTGTCCCTTTTCATTCCAGGCTAGAGCCCTACCACTGGAGCCACGGCTCCACTTCTGAATTTGTGGTGCTTACTAGGAGATAAGAGTCTTGTAAACTTACCTCCCTAGGCCAGCTTCAAACCAGAATCCTCAAATCTCTGCCTCCTGAGTAGCCGGGTGATGGGCCTCAGCCAGCACTGTGTAGCTGATACCATGGATTTCAATATTGGTTTCTCTCCATCATTTTCCTCCTTTTCCCTATTCCACCTCTCGCCCCAATTGTCACACAGCTGTGTGTGTGTGTGTGTGTGTGTGTGTGTGTGTGAGAGAGAGAGAGAGAGAGAGAGAGAGAGAGAGAGAGAGAGCGTGTGGGGGGGACTGGTTTATAGATCACCCACTTTGTTATAGAAATCCAAAGCGATTACAACGGTCTGGAAAGCCTTTGGGTTGTTCGGACTAAGAGTAGAGAGGTAGAGCCCAGGGGTGAGAGTTCATCCTGCAGTGCCAGGACAGTGCCCAGGCCAGCCCTTCACAGTGTCCCCCAGTGCCCTTCACAACTAAGGGCTGTGGAGCACGATAAGGAGTGCAGGGCGGCGCTGGTGCAGCCGGGTCCATGCCCTTCAGAGCCCTGAAGGTTGGTCATGGCCGCGTCAGGGTAAGGGGTGGGGGTGGGGGGGAGAGCCAAGCGGAACTCACTAGGCCTCCTCCAAGTCCTCCTCCTCTCCCTCGCTTCCTCCCACCTTCCCTCTCTTCCTCCTGCTTCTCTTTCTCTCCCTCTCTTCCTCCTGCTTCTCTTCCTCTCCCTCTCTTCCTCCCGCCTTCCACCTGCCTCTCTTCCTCTCTCTCCCTCCTGCCACTTATCCTTGGTGGCACTGAAAGTTTACTTAAGGACACAGGAAATGTATTCAAACCCTCCAGAAAAACAGATCTTTCTTTGAGCCTACCACCCACCCCTCCCTGCTCAGGGGCCCTGGGTGGTCTTCCCACTCTGGTTGGTCCTTCCCTCCTTCCTTTCCCCTCCCTCCCTCCCTTCCTCTTTCCTTCCTCCTTCCTTCCCCCTCCCTCCTTCCCTCTTTCCCTTCCTTTCCCTCTCTCCCTCGATCCCTCCCTTCTTTCCTCGCCTCCTTCCTTTCCTTCCTCCTTCCCTCCTTTCCAATCCCACCACCCTCTCACTCTGCTGCCCTTGTCATCCGTGGTTTACTTCCGAGACAAGGAGAAGAGGCTCCTCTTCCTCCTCCCTCTCCCTCCCACACCCCATGTGTAGGACTCTCCCGGGTCCTACTTCTTTTCCCTTACATGTTGGTGCCCTCTGCAGATGCCCTGCCCCAGGCTCTGCCTGCCTGCGCTTTTGCTCTTCCATCTAGGTAGTTGTGGGGTCTGCTGCATGTGGAAAGATCCCTAGTTCAAAATAGTGATGAACTGCAGGTGTGGAGGGGGTGGCTGAGCATTAAATCCAGTACCCTGTGCACCCCACAACTCACAGTTCACTCCCAGGACTCAGTCTTCATCTTCCTCCTTGTGTACCTCAGGAATGCACGCATGTGCCCTGTGTCGTAAGTGCACGAGCAGTGAAAACTAGCGCGTGCAGGAGCGCAAAGCCATGGTCAGAAAGTGGCCGGGAGAGGCGGGCTGTGCTGGCTGTGCAGAGGGCTTTCCCTGTGGGGTCTTTAGGACCCTAGTAACCGAGGAGTTGGCGAGCTGGCGGCTGCACCATGCTCACACTGGCTCTTCAAGTTGCTGTCTGTGAACTTGAAGCAGGTTAGAAAAAGCTGCGGCATGTGTGATGCACCTCCATGCCTGAGTTTTGGGGGACTATGCCCGCTCACCCTTTGCATGGAGCCCAGGCCCGTTGTAATTCATCTTCTAATGCCTGCAGCTAACTCTGTCCTGCGGCAGAACCTGGGGGCGCAGACCCCTGCAGCTCCCAAGCTGGCCTCACCCGGCCTCCCACCCTGATCGCCCTGTACCCTGGGCCCCTCCCGTCCCGTGGGCAGCACAAGGCGCTTCCTTATCGTGGGAGACCCACCGGCGCCCTCCCCCCCCCCATCAGGCTCTCTCCTCCCCACAGGCCCTGGGGCTCAGGGTGCCATTAACCATCCAGGGGACCCCACAGCAGGGCTGCAGCTGTGTAGGGCTCTCAGACTACCTCATCCTTCCTGGACTGGCCCAGACCCCCCTTCCCCACCCCTCCTCGTCTCCCTTCCCTCTTCCTCTCTCCCCTCCTCTGTCTCTCAATGTGCACATTCATTGCTCCAACAGCAGCAACCTGGAAGAAATTAATCTTCTAAACAGCGAGATGGGTCCCCAGTTCCAGGAAATTCAAAGCTGGGCAAGGGGAGGGGAGGGGCCCGGTGTCCGGCCCCCCCCCAGCTGCGTGCAGACAAGGCCCCATCCTGCCCCTGCCCCAACCCCCCAATCGGTCCAGAAAAGTCTCAGCTCCAGTCCTGGAAGCCCTGGAGGCAAAGGTGTAAGGGTAAGGAGGTCGGGGAGGGGTGCGGCCTCCCTGCTAGCAGAGCAGAGGGCAGAGCCTGACGACCCAGTCCACCCCACCCAGGCCCAGCCGTGGCTGCCCGAGGGGACAAGGGCTGACGCTTCAGTTTCCGGGTGCCTGTCAAAAAGGGAACTAGGCCAGAGCCTCCCAGGGGTGTGGCTGGAGCCACGTGTCTGAGGGAAGAGGCTGGGGCCTGGGCCCGAGTCTGAAGGAGGAAGCTGACCCCCTGAGTCTGAGGCCTGGACCCTTGGGTCTGAGGGAGGAGGCTGGGTCTGGACCCATAGGTCGGTGGGATAAACCCATAGGATTTGGGGCCTGGGCGCTGAGAGCGCCGGAGTCCCCAATCCCTGACGCTTCCTTTGCTGGGTGGGGCGAGCGCGGGCGGGGACCCCCAGTCCGGGTTCCCCCAGCCCCTGTCTCTCACCCACTAACCCCAGACCCTTCCCGCCTCCGGCCTCTCCCTGGTCTGAGCACGGTCGGCAGGTCGGTGGGTTATTTCCCCAGTGACAGTGCTGGGACCCGTGGGCCAGGGTGACCTGCCGCGTCCCCTGCACCCTGCGCCGAGTGCGGGGTCCCCGTGAGCGGCCTGCGCACGCGACCCGGCGCCGCCAGCCTGTCCGAGCCGGTGAGGGGCGGACCGTGGTCACCAGGTCACCAAGGCCCGGGCCAGGGCTTCTAGACCCTTCCTCCCCACCCCACTCCCTCGCCGTGGCCCCGGCATCGAGGTTCGGTCAGCAGCCAAGCTCGGAGTTTCAAAATAAAATGGACAGAAAACGTCCTCGTGCAACCACAGTCCAGAGAGCAGAGAGCCGTGGCTCGTGACTTCCAGCTTCCATGGAGGGAGGGGGGGAGGGAGAAGGGGAGGAAGGGAAGGGGGGAGCTGCAGGCCAGGTCACCACTGCCCCGCCGCGAATCCCGCGTCAGGGCAGAGGAGCTTGGTCCGCGGAGGTGACAGACAGCAGGGGCGGCCCGCTGGAGACGCTGGGTCTGGCTGGCTGGGCTGCCCGGGCCGGCCTCCAGGCGACCCCCAGGCCGCGGGGACCCTCAGGCCTCAGGCTATCCCCAGCGTGCGGGGCGGGGCAGGACCAGGCAGTCAGCGAGGCCATGGCCCCTCCTCCTCCCACCCCGCAGTTGCCGGTGCTGAAGCAGCCGGGCCCCGCACAGCCCAGGAAGCGGGGCGCGCCGTCCATCTCGGCGCCCCTGGGCGACTTCTGGCACACGCTGGCACGTGGGGCGCGGCGGCAACGCCCTCGGGGACACCACGTTCCTGAGCCGCCACGGGGGTGCGCCGCCCCCCGCGCCTGCCTTCCCCTCAGCCGCGCGCGCACGCCGACCCACTGCTGTCCTTACACCTGGCCCTGGCCCCTCCATGCTGGACGCGGTGCTGGGGGTCATGGACGCCGAGCGTGCGCAGGCCCCGGGCCAAGCTGCGGGGGAACGAGCTGGGGAGCTCCGCAGAGCTTCAGGGACGAGCTTCAGGGGTGTGGTCCGGCGGGGAGGTTTTGAACCTGAGACGTGCGAAGGGAAGGAGGTGGCGGCTGCATCCCCAGCCTGGGAACGAAGTCCAGCCTGAGCCAGCAAACGTCCAGGTTATTCTGAAGGCTGAGCGAGCGCATGCGCGCGCCGGGGCGGGGCCAGGGAGGGGCGGGCGCATTCAAATGAAAGGAACTGGGCGGGGCCAGGCAGGGCAACCTTTGAGCTGGGGCAGGTCGGAGCCCGGCACGTGCAAAGCCTGGGACGAACCGCATCACGTGTTCATACACTAGGGGGAGGGGGGAACCGGGGCGGGGCCAGGTACGTTAAGTTTCCGGGCAACTGGAGTGCCGGCACCCGGGCCCTGGGTGCTGTGTCCAGCGCAGCCCACCCCCAGGGTGCTGCTGGACCGGGCGGGGCGGCAGTCTAGTCTCGTCCCGGAGCTGCCCTTAGCACCCATGGCAGCCGAGCAACCGGAGCTGCCGTCAGAGGTTCCCTCCTCGGAGCCCGCGGCCCCGCCGGCCAGCCGCTTGGGCGCCTGCTGCCGCCAGCCCCATCCTGGGGCCGGCGGCGGGGCGCAGCCCGAGGTGGGGGCCAAAAAGCCGCCGCTGCGCACAGCCGCGGCCGTCATCCAGCGCATCCGCTGGGACCCGCGCCTGGACCCCGCTGACTTCTCGGTGGGCTACGCGGACCGCTTCCTGGGGGTGTGCGAGGAGCCCTTCAGCGCCTTCTGCTGGGACGAGCCGCTGGCGGCGCTCGGGCCTGGCGTCCTGGCCGTGCCGCAGCACCGAGTTCGCTACTTCCGCTTCCGCGGCCGCCTGGTGTGGGACCGCGCCTCGCGCACCGACCTGGTCTTCGGCTCGGGCTCGGTCGGTGGCCGGGGACCCACCATCCTGGACGTGCTGGATGCCAACGAGGACGCGCCCGCCCATGAGAACACGCTGGGCGCCGATGAGGACGTGCCCACCCATGAGAACACGCTACGCGCCGACGAGGATGGGCCCACCCATATGAGCGCGCTGGGTGCCAGCGAGGATGCGCGGCTGGACCCCGAGGACGCACACAGGGCAGAGGCGGCCATGGAGCATCCGGAAGACCAAGCTGACCAGACCAGGCTTGGCGAATTGGGCTTGGAGGAGCTTGGGGAACAGGAAGCTGCCAACCCCGGAGAGCAGGCGGTGTCTTTGGATGCTCAGTGGGGTGCGGCGGCAGCGAGCTGGCCCCGACGCCAGCCCCGGCCCACCCACTTCGTGGCCCTGCTGGTGACCGAGCCCGGACTTCGGGCAGCCATATGCGAGGCCCAGGCGCGGCTGGTAAGGGCCGCCCCAGCCTGCGCCGCCTTCCTGGTGCCCTTGCACGCCCTGCACCTGACGCTGGCCCTCCTGCGGTTGGCGGGGCCTGGGGAGGAGGCGGCCACTGTCCTGGCCCTGCGGAGGGCCCTGGAGACCCCAGGGCTCGGTGCACCCCGCTGGCTGCGATTCAGGGAGCTAGTCCTCCTGAACCCCCACGTATTCTGCGCGCTCCCACACCCCACACTAGTGGACACAGCCAGGGCCCTGAGCCACCGGCTGGAGGCTGAGGGGCTGCGGGTGGTGTGGCCTCTCGAGGGGCTCCACCCGCACCTCACCGTGGCCAAGGTGCCCCGCGGGGTCCCCACCCGCCTCCCAGAGCCTGAGGCCGACCTGGATGTGGAGCTGGGGAGCCAACCCCTGGGAAGCCTCTGGCTGTGCCGCGTGGGGCGGGCGGGGGGCACCTTCCAGCTTCTGGCCGAGGTTCCCCTGGGCTCATGGCCCAGAGCGGAGCGCAGATGCACCTGAGCACAAAGGACAGTGCTTTGTTTTTTTTTTCTCTCTCTCTCTCTAATTTTGGTTTGTCTCAAGCTTCCAGAATGGTGCTCAGTGCTCCAAGGAAAGAATGAAGGAAGGGGAAGGGAGAGGCGGGCGGGAGGGGAGGCAGAGAAGGGAAGCAGCCCGACAGTCCAGCTGTGTGCGAACTCATAGCGCGTCCTCCCCTTACATGGCAGGAGGGGGGGGGCGGAAAAGAAAAAGGGGGAAGAAGAAAATATAACTTAAATAAACACACATACAAAGAAAAGAGAAGGAAACATGACGTGAGCTGGTGATCCATGGAGGCAGGGAGGGAGGGTGGGAGGAGGGTAACCATTTTACCTGTGCTGAGCCAGGGAAAGCAGGGAGAGGGAGGAGGGGAGGGGAAAAAAAATCAGAAGAAACATTGGGGTAGAGGGGAGAGGGACATGGAGACAACTTAATACAACTTGAGACGAGGCGGCCCGGCCGGCAAGGTCCCGCGATGGGTGGCCTCGGAGTCCTCAGGGCTGGGTGGTGCGCTGGTCTGGTGGGGATGGTGCTGGTGCTGGTGCTGTTGGCATTTCTGGGGTGGGAGACCAAGGATGGGACATAGTCTCTAAGCCGCTCCCCTCACCCCAAACACTGAGGCCCCGAGGCTGGGCAACAAGAGTCTCTGAAGAGGCGGACAAGGCAGCGGGCATGGCTGGCTGGTGCCCACTGCGGCGGGTGCGGGCGGACGGCCTGTCTTCTTTCCACTGGCCCCCCAGCATGGGATGGGCCGGGGCGCGGGTCGGGTGCCGGAGTACAAGCTCGAGAGAGAGAGAGAAAAAACACTGAGACAGCATTAGTGTGAGGTGAGAGGTGGGCACAGAGCCTGCAGCCCCCACCCCTCCTCCCACCCTCCCCCCACCATCCATCCCTCTGAGGCAAAAAATAAAAACGTAGAAAAATCTCTGTATGTACACTCTCCACTGGGAAATGGAGACGGGACTGCGGCTCTTCCCGGAGCTACTCCCGGAAATTAATTTACAACCCAAGTCCATGGCTCAAAACAAAATCCGCAAAGGCGGTGCTGGAGGCCTCGGCCCTGCCCCGCCAGGCAGGCTGGGCGCTCAGAAGGCTGGCAGCTGCGCCAGGCTGAGGCGGCAGTCCACGCTGGAGTTGTCCGGGCCCGTGTAGGCCAGGCCTAGGGGCTCTAGGAACGCCCGGCAGGCGGCCTCGCCCTCAAAGGCCAGCTCGGCCTGCAGGTAGGAGACTGGAAGCGCAGGGCGGAAGCTATGGAGACAAGAGGAGAATGTGATGAGGCAGGTGGCAGGCAGGGAGGGCCCATGAGCAGGGAGCTGGTACCCCCCGTTCAGGAACCCCCAGAGTTTGCTCAGCATGGTCCCTGCAGCCCTTCCCCATGCCCCCCTCAAGGGCTTAGGGGAAGGCCTGAGGGGGGGGTTGATGGCCCCAGTGCCCCGTGGCGCCCCCCCCCTCGCCCTCACTTACCTGTCCAGGAAGGAGGGGACGGGAGGGGATAGGCTCAGCTGGCACCTCCGTGGCTGAGGGGCAGGTGCCAGAGGGAGGGCCCAGAGTGCTGGCGTGTAAGTGGGGAGGCCCTATGACACCCTCATTGCACACTCGGCCCACGTGCCCAGAAGTGGTTGTGTACACCTCCCTCTAGCTTGGGACCCTTTCTTCCAGGCAATTCCACCGAACCCCAGCCGTGAAGGCAGCAGTGTCATTGTGGGTTCAGCCTGCAAACCCTGCTCAGCCCTGCTGCCCTGCACACAACACTGGCTCACCTTCCAGGCTCCTCCTGGCAGCGGCAGACCAGGGGTCTACCCCAAAGCCAAGGCCAAGGCCAGCTTCACAGGCAAGGCACAAGCCTGCTGCCTGTCGGGGGGCCTACCAGGTGCAGAGGACAGTGTCCTGCTGCCACCTCTCCCGTGCCTGCCACTGCACCCACAAGTTTTTTGGCCTCACACCTCTCCCCTGCCTGGAGCAGCCTCTTCCTCAAGCCTGCGGATCCAGAGCAAGCCCAAGGATGAGCAGCATAGCTCCCACCACCTTCGCGAGCTCCAACCTCCTGAACTAGTTTTCCCAACCTGTTGAGACCAAAAGGGCAGATGGCCGCTGACGCAGTAGCTAAGCAGCATACCCACCTCTGCCCACCTGAGTGTGCCCTTGGTGTGGCCACACAGTGTGACAACTCCTGACTTGCAACTGTGGGTCTGAGTGGGAATCAAGGAATCCTTAGCCCCACAGAGCCACACACAGCCTAGGGGATGAATGTCCCCGTGTGGCTGGCCTGTCCCTGCGCGTTTCTGGCCCCCATCCTTCCTGGTCTGTCTAGAGTGGAGCAGCGGGTGCTCCATTGGGTAGACAAGAGGCCTCAGAGGGAGGCTGAGAGCCTGGCAAGAAGTGACCACAGACCAAGTCCAGGCTGATGGGAACAGGAAGAAGGCAGAGGGCAGGAAGGAAATGCCACAATCAAGTTAGAATAGTGGGAGAAAGAAGAAACAGAAAGAAAACCCGGAGGAGAGACAGGGGGTATGAGGAGTGTGGACGCTGCCAGCCAGGCACGCGTGGAAGGGAGGTGAGGTAGAGCCACGGCAGAGGGTGGCGAACGCGCACGTGCGGTGCCACATACGTTTTGATCATTGCCTTGAGGGCAGCCTTGCGCTCCCGGTCTGCAAACTTGTCCACAAGATAACCAGACATGCAGGGCGCGTGGCAGTAGAGCCGGAAGAAGCGGTGGTAGTTGCCCAGGGCCCAGGCTGCCCGCAGTGCCAAAGCATGGGCCACACAAGGGTCTGCCTTGAGCTCCCTTGTGAGGTACGCCAGCTCTGTGGTGATATCTGCACAAGAGACGGAGGAAGGTCAGATGGCAGGCAGTGTGCCCAGCCACAGCACCCCGTGCCCAGGGAAGCCACTCACCTCCCGAGTTCTTGGTGAACATGTAGTAGAGGATTCGGTATGCCGTGAACTCGCCCACGTTGCCTGGCAGGTTCTCCGCATACAGTGACTTGAGCTGGGTCTGGCACTGGTTGAACTCTTCGTGGTCCCCCTGAGGGCAGGGATGGAAGGAGAGAAGCCATGGGGCTCAGGCAGGGGCGGGCGGCAGCAGGGGAAGGCAAGGAAAGGGCAGGTCCGGCACAACAAGCATACCTTCTCCAAGGCAATGCGGGCATGGGTCTCGTACACCTCCACAGTGAACTCGGTGCGGACGCCTTGCACCTGCGCAGTGGGGAGAGAGCAGTGTGACACAGAGCCCAGCAGGGCGGCATGGGCAGGGTGGGGCTGGCTAGGGCAGGACCTCACCGTCAGGTCCTGCCGGATGGACTTCATCTGCTCACAGGCGAACGCGTAGTCCTGCTTCTCCTTCCAGTGCGACTTGACCATGCACAGTGACTTTTTCAAAACCTGGCAGGAAACACGTGGAGGATGAGAGGCCCCACGGCAGGCACACGCAGCATGCGTGCCAGCTGTGCCAGCCCTCTGTGCCCACCGCGGCTACTCTTCAAATGAAGAGTTCTCAGTGGACATGGATTAGTGCCAATGTGCCAACCCCCAACCCTGGTTCAGGACACACGCGAAAGAGCCTCAGGGAGGCCCACCAAGCCTCCTGGCAAAGCAGACTCTCAAAGGTGGATGCCAACCCATCCCACCTGTGCCAGCTCCAGGGAACTCGCACCAGCCCGTGGCAAGCAGACCCATCCTGCTGGGGACTTACAGACACTGGGCGCACGGTGGACGGGTCAGGCGCGCAGGTGAGACGCAAGTAGTGCTTGGTAATGTCCAGGCAGGTGCCCACAATTTGCAGGTCCTGCCAGTCAGGGTCAGCCCCTCCGCTCTCCAGGCTGCTCATCTGCAACACCAGGGGCTCTAGGCGCAGGCGGCGGTGCCCGTGCTGGAAGCGGGCTGCTCGCTTCTGCTTCTTCAGCTCGCGCTCAGGGTCCTCACTCTCTAGGGCAGCCATCTTCTTGCGGCTGCGCTTGGTGGGAGCCAGATCATGCCTGGGAGGGAGGTGGGGGAGGCCATGTCTCCAGCCACACCTGGCCTAGTTACCCAGCAGGCAGGCTGGCCAGCGGGCCTCTGTGGACCCCCACCCTCTCAGGCCTGTGGCACAGCCCCCCCACCCCCCCTCCCGCAGCCTCACCTCTTCCCGCGCTGCGCCCTGCCTCGGCCCCGGTCCATGTGGGCCCCTCGGCCACCCCGGCCCTTCTGAGGTGGGTTCCTGCGGGCCACAGGGTGACACTCGTTCCCCGAGTAGGAGCTGTCAGAGTCCGAGTGGGAGTCACTGCACACGGACACGGGAATCAGGCCTCTGGCAGCTCCTCAATGCCCCTCCCCCCAACCAGCTATCCAACCTGCTCGCTTGCACACCTTCTTCGGAAGTGGCGAGTGGGGGACCGGGAGGAGGAGCGGGAGCGGGAGTCTGTGCTGGAGGAAGAGCTGTTATCCTTCATGAAGACGTTGCGGTTGCCGAACTTGGCGAAGCTGCTACCCCGGGCTCGGCCAGCACCCCCAGCCCCCGGCGTCCCTCGCTGGGACTGGGCACCCCCGCCCCTGGTCACCGAGCCTGCCCCCCTGGGAGGGTGAAGGCTGCTAGGGGCCTCCCACCGCTTCTTCTTGGGGCTCTCAGCCACAGGCTCCCTGGTCAGCCTGAGGACATAGCAGGGGAGGGCGTTACTACCAGCCACCCGCCCCGAGGACCACAGACCCCATCACCACCCAGGACCATGAGGCCCCCGAGAGGAGGCACTTACCCCAGCCACTTGGCTGCTGCAGTGCAGGAAAGGGAGCAAGCCCAGGGCTCTGTCCGGGGACACTCTCAACACCAAGCCACCCGTGCCAACCCTAGCCTGAAGCCTGTCCACGGAATCCCACCGCCACCACTTGTGGTCTGAGCCCTGCTGCACAGGGATCTCCAGCCCTGGTCAGGCCGGATCCAGCTTTCCAGCTGGCTCACTTCTCTTGGGAGCTAAGGGGCCCAGGTCCCCCTCAGCCTAGCCCCCTTCAGCATCTCCCCGACTGACCCAGGCAGGGGCTCGCGGCTCCAGTCGATGGTGTAGGCCGAGCCATCCTGGAGCCGAGCCTGCAGCACCTCCTTGAGCAGCTTCTCGGTCCGGTCCTTGTCCTCCTCTGACTCGCAGGCCGTGAAGCAGCGTTCCACGTACTCCTTCATGTCCTGCGGCCAGTCATCGGGCTTCCCAGACAGGCTTCCCCGGGCTGAGGGCCCACTGGGGAGGCAAAGGGGATTCAGCTGAACCCTCACCTGGAGACCGCCCCGTACCCGAGGCTAGACACAGTCTAAGCGCCGCATCCCCAAGTGCTCACATGGCCCCAGGGAGAAGTGCACAGCTCCCCCCCCCCACCGTCAGCTGGTGCACAGAAGTTCAGTATAGAATGTCTATGTGGTGGGTAGACAAGAGACAACCATCACCTGTGGTTTTGGGGTTTCTCAGGGTTGGGCTGAGCCCCAAAACTGCTGTGCTGACTCTCTGCGCTGGAGCTGAAGCTTTGGTTGGTGACAGCGAAGGGCCGCTTCTGAATGTTGAACTTGAGACCTCCAGTCCCAGGGGCTGCTGCGCAAGAGTGGCAAAGGCCAGAATTAGTGAGGCCCCTGTGGGACACACGGGATTCCAGAGAATGCAGCACCAAAGCCCAAGAGCAGGAGGGATCTGAGTCTAGAGCAGAAGAAACCTAGTTCTAGGGCCCACCCCAACCCTCAGGACCACATCAACACCAGACCCAGGTCAAGCCCCATATCCCATATCCAGGAGCACCCCTGGCCATCCAACCCCAGGTCCGTCTGCAGCTCACGCTTCATGCGAGTCCATGGCTGCTGGCCCTTCTTGGGCTTGGCAGGTTCGCTGTAGGTGTGTGAGCCATAGGCCTGGCC